GACAGTGCAAATCTAGTAAGTTAGGAATCCCATCATAGAAGAAACTGGTGGGTCCTAAATAAGTTTTGGGGGCATTGAGATTGAAAAAAAAATAGTTTTGATGATAATAATACCAAAAGTGGTATTTGGCATATGTCACCTACTACTATAATCTTCTCCATCTAATAGATGAAAACACGGAAGTTCAGAGAGGTTAAGTTGTCTCCTTAAGGTCTCAGAGCTGCATTTGGGCTTAGGTCTGCCTGTCTGGCTTGAAGCCAGCTACAACCTATCTTGGTCACCCAGGAGCCATCTCATTAGCTGTCAGGACTGAGATTAAGGAAAAAACATGAAGGCCACAGATAATCCCCAAACCTTAATTTAGCCAGTAATTCAAGTTCCTGGGCCAACACTCTCTTATTAGTTACCAGTAAGTCCCGAAAGCAGATGTTGTCTCTTCTGTGAGGAAACAGTCTTCTCCTATGCCCCCTCCTTCTGCGTGTGCAGGCATGTACACACGCTTTGTGAGTTCCTACCTGTCCTATAAAAATTGGCTTACATCTCTTTTCTGGAAGCTTGGGCAATTCATGCATTTTCTTCTTCCCTTTCCCATGTGTGTGTTGATACCATTTCTGCCACACCTGAGCCTCATGATCACAACAATGTGTTTGAAAGTCTGTGTCCCCCTTTGGACTAGCAGCCTCAGAAGAGTGTCCAGTGTCCAGTGCTGGTGGTACCCTAGAGGCTGTCACAGGGTGGGAGCTCATGACCACAGAAAGCACCCACACAGGGTGTGGGACACAGCAGAGCAAGAGTGAGTGGCCACAGGACATGGGGATGCTCCTGAATAACCAGCTGTCTTCAGTATCAGTAGAGGAGGGAAGCATTCCACCTGGACACTTGGCTCTTTCTAGCCCACGGCATCTGGGAGACGCTCTGTGTGACCTTGTCAGTGGCTTTCCCATCTTTGAGCTTCAGTTACAGTGTAACATAGGAACTGAAGTAGGAACATCATAAGGTTGATTGTAGCTTTGTATCTCTGATCTAAAACTCCCAGGCAGAATGTCCAGGAGCCTTTTGTTGGCGAAGGGGGAATAGCCTAAACTGTAAAGAGAAGAAATTCCTGACCCTTGATCCCATAATTCCTTC